GAGGGACGACCTCTTCGGCAGTGATGCTCAACTTGTCCGGCCCATATCTGACGAACTCACCGTACTTCTCGTGAAGCTCGGTCAAGTTGTACGGTTGCTTTAAAGACAGGAACTGATTGACCTGCCACAGATCCGTGACAGATGCCCAGAATGGGCCTGGATAGCCAGCCAAGGGGTGGAGGAATCTCTGATAGGCAACATAGATCACGGCGCTAGTTACCGCGAGACCCAAAAGGAATCCTGAAAAGGTAATCTGAACATAGTCTGAATCAAGTATGGAGGATCTCATCTTGTACTCAGCGTGCCCAATCGTGATCTTGTAATTTGCAATGAAAATGATTGAAAACGGGTGTGAGGAAGTGGTGCTTATGATGTAGCTCCGGCCCCGCGTTGACGGAGGATAAATACCGTCCGAACCGCATCTGCCGAACTCTCCCCGCACCAATACTCCCGATCAATCCGAAACTCGCGGTAGAGCACTCACTGAAAGCCTTACAATTAAGTGAGTCCAAAGTCGGGGTAGGTTGATGAGGGGAAGACAAGGATATTGCTTCAAAGATCGAGCATAGACCCATGCTTCGCTGGTTCTGGTCGACGTGTAAAAGAGGCGGCTTTTCCTTGCTAGCTAAGTATTGTCAACTAAAGCAGTGTTTGGTCTATACTTAATCCATTTGCAAGTTGAAACTATGGAAATTCCCAACACCATGCACGCTCATATGTGTCAGTGATGTGGTTGTCGTTGAGCAATACCCACATTTGACCAACGTTGAACGTTAAGTTTAGCTAGCATTGAACAGTGTTTCGATCACGGGAGGAAAAGGATAAACACACCCCAAATCAAACCCGACAACTCAATGAGACTCGTTCCATCATACCACTGCATATTGACCTTGGGTTGAAAGTGAAGCTCTCAAAATTCCAAAAAAATGAAACCGACCTACGTAGGGATCGAACCTACAATCTTCACAGTATGACTAGGGAGCCGAAATGTGACGCGATGCCATTTCGCCAGCAGGCCTGGTCGATGGAATTCCGGCTGAAACGGACGCTCATATACCCCATCTAACCGACGAGCTTGGACCAGTCCTGTCCCTGGATCTCTGAAGACAGCTGCATGTAAGTGGGCTAGCGAGCAGTCGGGGCTTCATAGCTGTAACCTTGTCATGTAAGTTACGATGATGCAGCAGCTCTAAAAGAAGAAAGAGACTAATTGTTGAGGCTGACAATCTCCTTGGAGTATCGGCGAAGGAGCGAGATCTACACCGGCAGTGCGCATGCGGGTGTAAGACAAATCATGCGGACCGCTCCGTGTGCCGACGGACACCCGCTGACTGCCGCTTTTCGGTTGGTGCTGAAGCCTGCCGGCATGCCGTCGTCTCCGTTCCGCATCGCAGAACATGAGAATGGTATTTGTCTAAGTGCATCCGAGTTTAGCAATGTTATGTTGATAAGTAAAGTAAGCCCTGGGTATTCTTACATGTCTTAAAAAGTCTCCCGCTGTTCTCTTTACCTTGGCTCAGGCGTGTGTTTCTCCAACTCTCCAGATTCTAATCTCGTCAAATCACCACCACCATCTCTTTTCTAGCCGCCACAATGACGAGCATCCGCAAAGTCATCATCTCACAGTACGGCGACGTCGACGTGATCAAAGTAGTCACAGATGTCTGCCCTCCACCGCCCCCCGGCGAAATCCAAATCGCCACAGAATACTCAGGCTTCTCCGGCGCAGACGTCAACATGCGCAAGGGCATCTACCCCTTCATGAAGAAAGCGCCCCTCACACCAGGCTACTGCCTCGTCGGCACCGTCCGGGCTCTCGGCGAAGGCTCCAAGAACTTTCAAATAGGCGACGTCGTTGCCGTCCTGACCAAATACGACTCCGAGGCGGAGCTCGTCAACCAGCCGGAGAAGTACTGCATCCGCGTGCCCGACGGCGTGGATCACCGCCAGGCGACGGCGCTCATTTGCGACTGGAATACCGCGTACGGCATGGTGATGCACTCGGCGAGGGTGTCCAAGGGCCAGCGGGTGTTTGTGCACGGGATGAGCGGCGCGGTGGGGTTCGCGCTCATGAAGCTTGCGCAGCTGCAGGGGGCCACGGTCTACGGTACCGCAAGCCAGCGGAACCACATTGACGTTCGGCGCGAGGGCGGTATCCCGTTCGTATACAGCGACAAGAACTGGATGAAGGAGATGAACGCCCTGGGCGGCGCGCATGCTGTGTTTGACCCGCTTGGGTTTGAGAGCTTTGACGAGAGCTACTCCATTCTCGCGGAGGACGGCACGCTTGTTGGGTTCGGGAATAACAAGGCTTCGCTGAACGAGGGCGCGCCTCCTCGGAACCCGACGGGTGCGCTGTTGAAGCTGTTCGCGAGAAACTTGAACTTGTTGACCAAGAGGAGCACGACTTTCTACGCTCTGAACAGGGACTCTGCAACATATGTGCCTAATGTCACGGCGTTATTGGATATGTTGAGGACGGGGACGATTACGGTGCCAATCAAGTGTGTTTGGGACATGGAGGATATCCAGACTGCGCATCGGCAATGGGGTGGTGGAAGTGGTGTTGGATCTTTGTTGATCAAGGTAGCCAAGAACTAGGGTCTGGCAAGAGGTTATCAGGAGATCTTGTCTTTGTTCACGACTCGGAGTGCGTTTTTGATATTGGGGAGTTTGGGTAGAATCTACAGCCGTAGTGCGTAAATGGCCTCGTTCTTACACAAATTGTGTTCACTTTTGTCGGAGAGACCCATAGAAGCAATTGGATGGGAGGGATACTTCGGTACTGTGAAAACCATTATGAAGCTTCTCAAAATGGAAATATTCGCCTCCATTCACAACCTTCCGTTGGGAGAAGGTTTCGGCGCACCCACGTAGTGCCCGGCCCTCCACTATCCGGATTTCGGCCCCGCCATCTTAGTTTACGTTCGACTGATGTCGCAATTCAAAACAGTCAAGATAGGCAAGATCCGATAGAGCCGGTGTTGGATTTATAATACAAGTTCTGGTATTTGTAGAAGGCTCCTGAAGGGAAAAATTAAAGTGAACATTGAAGGTGTGAGATCATCATCTTCAAGTCCACTGGTTCTCGGGAAGAACTTCCGAGGTCTGCCAGATTGCAGCCAATGTATTATGACATCCGCATAGCTTACTCTAATCCCCAAGTTACGATGTCCAGGAACAAGGCTGCTTGGCTGACACGTGCAAAGACCTACCCACTCAAGGTCGACGATGCCCCATTCCCGACTGCCGGACCCGGTGAGGTCGTCATCAAAAACGTCGTGACTGCTCTGGTAAGCAATGTGTCTCACTTACGTCTATTACTACTAAGGATCTTTCTCTGACACCCTAGCAATAGAATCCTGCCGAATGGAAGATCCAGTAGGTAATCCGTACGATTCAAATTAGGATAATGATGCCTGACATGGCTCAGAGATATGGGCATCATTGTGCAGAATTATCCCACCATTCTTGGGGCAGACGCGGCAGGCTTCATCGAAGAGGTTGGCGACGGCGTGACACATGTCAAGAGAGGACAGCGGGTCATAGGGTGCGCCATCATCCCCTGTCTATGAATGCGTTGCCCCCGGCGAGACTAACCTACCTAAATCATTTGGTCTACTGTCAGTCAATCTTCACTAACACCATGGGTAGGTACTGTACCGGGCTAGGCAAGCAGAACCACGAATTTGGAACATTTCAGCTCTACAGTAAAGCAGACGCGAACCTCATCTCACCCATCTCAGATGACATGAGCTTCGAAAGCGCCTCAGCCCTACCTCTCGCCATCGCAACAGCCGCGGTAGGACTCTATAAGAAGCAGCATCTCGGCCTACCCCTGCCATCTCTCAACACTCGCCGAACGGGCAAGACGATCCTCATATGGGGCGGTGCATCGTCCGTAGGAGGCACCGCAGTGCAGTTGGCCGTCGCATCAGGGCTCAGAGTCGTTACCACGGCTTCACAGCGCAACTTTGACAAGGTATTGGAGCTGGGCGCCGAGGTGGTTCTGGATTACCACTCTGATACTCTTGTCCACGACGCGCTGAAGGCGTTGTCTGGGGCAGATCTTGTCGGCGTGTACGACGCGATCTCGGGCCCAGAGTCGCTGGGCCCCATTGGTGCTATCTTGGATCAAATTGGGCGACGCAGGGTCACTGTTGTGTTACCAACGAAGGGCGACTATGGGAAGAACGTGGAGATAAGCATGAGTAAGTTGGCTCCGAATGCCATGGTGAACGAATGCTAATCTTTTTGCAGTGACTGCCTATCAGATAACACAGGATCCAGAGGAAGTGCAGAATCCCGTGTGGAGAGACTTTGTCCCTGGTGCTCTCAGGAATGGCCAGCTGAAGCCGAAGCCGGACGCCGAGGTCGTTGGCAAGGGACTCGAGTCGATCCAAGCAGGACTTGATGTGTTGAAGCAGGGCGTATCTGCTAAGAAGTTGGTGATCCAGCTCTGAGACTACTCACATGCAAAAGTAGTTATTGGCCTGTTCTTGTTTTACTTATCTGCATGAAGAGCTTTGGCGGCCACAAGCAGCTTCATGCAAGATGCAATTGAGTTGATCTCATCTTTCTCCCCTGAAACATGAAGGTTGACACTAGTGCAAAGGCATGAAATTGTTCAGAGGAAAGAAACATGTATCCCTTTGAATTCCTGGTTTCACATGTGAATAAGCAACGCAGAAGATGAATCAGTTGGTGTTCCGATCTGCTTCTGTTGTGGATGAAAAGAGACCTTGATGACTTTCCTCATCGTGCTCACCTTGATTGCCGCCCTCGGTGAGGGTCAGGTGAACAGGTGTGTCAGATGGGAATAGCGACGGCGGGATTGGCTCGGTCGACGCCGATCTTGAAGACAAGCTATGAAAACAAGTGGAGACGGAGCGGAGGGACGGACTTCGGGTTGGGAGATGATCCATGTCATCAGTACATGGCACGTGCCTCCACCAAATGCAGCCAATTGTGGAGGGGGAGCCGTGCGTGCTTGCCCCGCCATGGAGCCATTCCGCATGTCGCAGCTGCAGCAGGCAGGCAGCTCCCACTTTGGTGCTTTCCCATGCTGACAGTCAGGTTCCAGGCGCAGGCGCACTTTCTCCGAAGCAGCCGGCACACCGCACACCGTCAGACGATGACATACCACCGCAGTACGTACCGTGAACCCCTCCATTCTCCAGATTCGGCCCAAAACCAAGGCCAAGGCCGTGAGCTGGCTGCGCTCGGCCGATGCTGCAGACTCAAACCAGTTACCAGACCAGACCAGACAAGACACCGGACCATGTCTCTACCGCAACTCTGAGTCTGTACTGTGTAGATTCTTTCCCTGCTGTTCGTTGTGTTACCTCATGCCCTCCTCCACTTTGAGCAGGGTACATACTCCTTTGACGCCTCACCAAGCCTGTTTGGATAGCTTCAAAGGCAACACTCTGCCGCCCATTTACCGCCTCATACCCTCGTGCGCGACCTTACCTTGCTCGACCTAACTATCTGACCATCCCTACCCCGACCTAACTCTGCTGGCCGAACCACAGCTTGACACCTTCAACCGCGATGACGCCGTATGCATAGCAGCTTCAAACTCCTACAAGGCACCCAAGCTCACCTAACCCGTCTTACGAACATCGACACTCCTACCCTCGACTTCCTTTTCTTCCAGCCTACATGCTGACGAACTTCGAACTTTTCTCCGTTGCCCTGCCCTCTCGGTGGCACTGATCGACCGTCTCCTCCCCCGACCCTCCGACCCCGCCGCGCCAGGCATCACCCTGGCTGTCGACTGTCCAGCTGCTCGTCTCACATGCTAGGTCGCACGCGACGTCACGGCCAACTCTTTCACCACCGCGCAACGAAGGCCTCGTCCCTAAGAAGCCCTGAAGCGATATCCCATACGTTTCGGGTGGTTTCCATCCTTCCGACGCCATCCTCATGCCTCTTGAATCTCCCCTTCAAGGCTACGACCGAACGAATAATCCCATAACCGCCATCATGGCGATCGACGTCCACAAAACCGATGCGAAAGGCGATGCGAAGAGCGATATCAAGGTTCCTGCGCCAGCTCCCAACGCGGGCTTGGTCAGAAAACCAAGCGATCCTCATCCGGCTGGTCGCGTCAAACACAGCCTAGTAGTGCAGGTCCTTCGGGGCTTCTCGTTCGGCGTTTACTTTGCTGCTTGTTGCCTTGCGTACGTTCCCCACAGAGCTGCTTGGTCAACCTTTGCGACAGCGTTTTTCTAACATGTTTCGCGCGCAGCATCATCACGACCCAAATCTTGGGCGTTCCACTATACTGGGCGAATCGCGACATGTTCTACTCCTACATGGCGCTCACGAAGCAGTCCTTTGGCCTGACTATCACCGCCATGACCCATATTTGGAGCAGTACTACCATCAGAATAAGCGGCGATGCGTCGATGAACGGGCAAATCCAGAAGACGGCGGACGGAAGGGTCCAGTTCAACTTCCCAGAGCGTGTGGTGCTCATCGCGAACCATCAGGTACGATGCACCTTGTCTTTACCACAGTTGTGATGTGGAATATGGGGATACTGACGGTGCTGGATAGATCTACACCGATTGGCTCTACCTATGGTGGGTGGCCTACGCGAACTCTCCGAGCATGCATGGCCACATCTACATCATTCTCAAGGAATCTCTCAAGTACATCCCCGGAGTTGGCGCCGGCATGATGTTCTACGGCTTCATCTTCATGTCGCGCAAGATGTCGACCGACCAGCCGCGACTCGCGCACCGACTTCAGAAGCTGAAGAAGCAACACGTTGGCGCCAACGGGAATAAGTATCTCGATCCCATGTGGCTCTTACTCTTCCCCGAGGGTACGAACTTGTCCACCAATGGTCGCAGGAAATCGGCGGCTTGGGCCAAGAAGAACGACCTTAAGGATCCCGAACACGTCCTGCTGCCCCGGAGCACAGGCACGTTCTTCTGCTTGAACGAGCTGAAAGGTTCGCTCGACTACGTTTACGACTGCACAGTCGCGTACGAAGGAGTTCCGTAAGTGAAGGCTTCTCCACGCATTCGTTTGCAACATTGTACGCGACACGTACTGACAGCATTCCAGCCGTGGCAAGTTTGGCGACCAGTTCTTCACCCTCACTAGCACCTACTTCCAAGGTCGCCCCCCCAAGTCCGTCAACTTCCACTGGCGTCGCTTCCGCCTCGCCGATATTCCTCTGGACGACGCCAAAGTTTTTGACACTTGGCTGCGCGAGCAGTGGTACGAGAAGGACGCCATCATGGAAGAGTACCTGTCCACGGGACGCTTCCCTGCGAGCCAGGACCTCAAGGGTGGCTTCGTCGAGACGGAGGTCCGCTTGAAGAGCTGGATCGAACTCGGACAGATCTTTGTCGTGCTCGGCATTGCCGGCCTCGTTTTGCGCATTGTCGCCAACTCTATCACTAGATTCGCTTCGGTTCTCTAGAGCAGAGGAGCATAGCTGCCTCAAAAGACCCGAAGAATCAGTCCGTGTTTGGGGCTATCTTCTGTTCATTGGCGATTGGTTACAGGTACATGAGCTGCGGCAAGGTTATCATCAGAAAGGCTGTGACTTACGGTAGCGATTGAACTTTGGGGCATGGGAGCTTCGGCTTGAGTTTGACGGCGTCCTTGGAGTATCCGGCGTTGAGCTCTTCAGATTCCTTCTTTGATACGAGATACAAGCTACAGTGCATCATCTCCATCAGCCTTTACCCTCATTGTGATCGTTGTCCCTTTCCATCCACATCTTTTGGTAAACTCGAAAGACTGATGCTGGAGGGCGGATTTGCGCTGGGGCAGATATCTTAGCTTTTGGTTAGTACGTGTTTAGGTCTGCTTGGTCCTTTGCTTTACTGAAGTGGTGCGATAGGCCATGTCGGTCGCCATACTCATAGCGCTACGCGGCACCTTCATGCCCGATCTACGACGTACCCCTCCAATATGTACGATGGGAGCAGTTATCTTGGCATCTTTCGCCGTAAAAAGTCGATGAGGCGGAGTCTTGTGCTTGGGTCGGTCTGACAACAAATATGAGAACTATTTGTTGATAATTTGCGGTGGGTTTGAGAAGCTCGAGATGTCCACCAGCCTTAAGGGACTCGTGGGTACGGAGAGGCTCCCTCTTGAAGCTGGGCTAGGCGCGCTCGGTCTATCATAATAGGGTCTTGTTCAGTTGGATTCAAGGCACCATGAGACGAACATCATGTATCGGACGGTGACGGCCTTCTTGTGCATGTGGTATGGGTGGCACACGAGGATGATGAGGTAGGCGGTTGGAAACCTACGTTTGGATATTAGGCCGTTGATCTCTGTCAATACACCCTAGGCAGAATACATAGTACTAGATGATCAGACTTTTCAATGACTGTTGGGGAAGAGTGTCTGAGCGCGAGGCAATGCGTCTCTCTAGGTATCTGGTAAGTCCGTAATGAAGCCGCGCTATCGGTCGGGAATTTCGAGGCTGATGGACTGGAGGGCTGTAACCTGCTGGTGAATGCTATTTCAGACGGAAGCAAGGCCGTTCCGGCGTACCCGTGCCTCTAGCAGTCAAGTTAACAGTCCGAATGTTACCTCGCTCAGTGAAAGGTGCGGTCTGTAGCTTGAAGTAGTGGAAGCTGTAAAGGGGGCCTCATTAGGCCTGCCTGCACATCACTCACTTGTAAAGAGCTGGCCTGTTCCGTGGGCAGTGATGGCAATGCCTTCCAATCGGGCTAAAGAGGACAATGCCATGTTGCTCACAAATGATGCCTGTCAAACATCCCGATCTTCAGCTTGGTTATACAGAAGTAGCTAGGCCCTACCCAGGTGACCTTTCCTAAGTACTGCTTAAGTTACATGGGCCTCTTATTTCACGAAGTCGCTGGTCGAGGTACACTCAAAGAAGTTTCTGGAGGACACCATGCCAGCGAATACTTTGACGAGTACACCTACGAGCTTTCATGTGCTGAGTCTCAATAGCTTGGCAGCTGATCAGTGATCTGAGATGATTATGGGTGATAGATTCGTTGAGCTGACGGCCCAACAAGTGTCAGGGGTCTCGATGCTACCCAGGCTCCATGGAGGGACTTGAGGTATAAGCCTGATGGCCTACTGACTGCGGCTGTTAACCATGCCGCTTGGACACTGAGTCCTTGATAATGGGTCAATTTTTGCGGAGGGAAGTGCATACTTTACTGAAGTCTCACGCCCACACCGTCCCGCGTCGGTATGTGGGCAACGGCGGCAAGACGCACCCTGGCCTGAATGGAAGCCTCTTCCAACATCAACCTGGTGGTATTCACGGACCTTGTCCGTGAATACAACGATTCTCCGACTCACACTTCGGGTGCTATTACATGTAAATACATCTTCTGGGGACTGGCAGGCTGGACCTCACAGTACCTGGTTGCTTCAGACCAAACACACAATAGCAGGCTGGGCTCTTGGTTTCAGTTGGCAGGCCTGCGCTGCCCACTCAGCAGGCCATACCTTCGCAGGAAGCCCAAGGTGACCACGATACGTCCAGCCTGAGTATGGACGCACATCAAATATGACGCTCCCGTGCCGTCAAAGTCGGTCTGCCCCCGTGGGCGGTAATGAAAGGGCTGCATGACTCGACTTCCTCGGTGAGATCTTGCCGATCTGGGAAGTATTTTAACGAAACCTGTGGGTTTTTGACATGGGGCAACTACCGAGAGGGACTTTGAGTCTGAATGGAGATAGCAGATCATAGACTGGTGGGGAAGCCGGACATGAGCCGTCACTCTTGATGCGGACAGTGGATGGATGTGGCTGGAGGCACGTGGACTTGATCAGGAATTGTGAGGTGATATGCTACTTTCACGGCAGGCAATTGAAGTCATTATGGTTTCCGTATCATTTGCACTGTTGATTCGCATCATTTCCCCAAAAATGATGTTGTCAATCGCTCCAGTCCACTTCCTGTTTCCCACGCTGTAAAGTATAGTCCCCCGTCCTCAAGGAACCCTACGACTTAAGGTAGTTCGAACATCACGCGAGGCCTGTGTCCTGATACCTCCTGCCAGCCTCTTCCTGTCCGTCATATTTAATCATTCCTTGCTTGTCTCTCGTGTTGCATCGTTTTGTGAACTGAGGGGAGATGACTGAGAATTCGCCCGTCTTGGCCGAGGACCGCCGCTGTGTTGGGCCGTCTTCAGTCTTTTGTACTCGGCGACTATTCTGATGAAAGTTTGCTGCGGTATTGAAATGTCCTCTTCTAGTTCGATGACGATATTTTGGCCGTCCTGAAACATGTACACCCCTGGCCGTTCGCGAAGCTCCTGTTTGACTGCTGGGTATAGGCGGCTTAGCGCATTTTCCTCGTCTTCGGTCAGTCTTCGATACTCGCGTTGAGTGTTGCTCATGTTTCTGTGATTCCGTGATTGGACGAAGGACGGTTGTTCTGGAGTTGAGGTCGAAGTGGCGGGCTGTTTTGGGAAATGGCATCTGCATCCACCGAAATGCCGTGTACTTTCGGCTTCATTTATTCATTTCCTGGCCCTGAATTAAAGATCTCCCTCATGATAGATGGTAGCTCATTGCGATGTTCTCGCGAGTCAACTTGCGAACGGGCACTTTTCAGCTCTCGAGCAATGTTGAAGATTGCAAATAAGCAACATTCCTCGTTCAGCGAATGCCAGTGAAGGATGAGAGTTCAGACAAAACCGGTGAACAAGCGTCAGAACTTACGGTCAATCCGCCGGGCGATGCTGGTCCGAGACCCTGTCAGTGGCTTGCAAGGGCGGCCAGCCATCCCATGCTTCTGAGGCGCTCCGGGGCACGGCCAGTTGGGCAGAATTAATACCCGCCCAACAGGGCGTCCACGAGACCCATGCTAGGGTAATTCCTGGATGTTAAAGTGCTTCGATTGGCAACCGGTGGGAGAAGAATGATCTTCGTGGCGCGCATCTCGGTGAGCTCCCTGGCCTACTCGTGTTTCTATCCATGCCTGTCATTTGTCCCACGGCCTATGCTCATGTCTATCCAACGCGGATTGATACCTCGTGATAACAGGATTGACTTGTTATATCCGGTGGCGAACCTTACCGATTCATGATACTTCCGACTTCAAGTTGTCTCGTGTCATGTTGCTGGGGATCTGGTGCTACTTCAGCCTTCGCCCTATCCTGGGATTCAGGCATGGATCGAGATCCAGCTGCTTACACGCAGGTAGGCTACAAGAGTCCGTAATGCTTCTAGTGGTTCCTCCAATCGGGGCAAACTTTTACGGCTGGGTTCGAAGTTTCTAGTGAATTTCTATCGTAGTATTTACAAACCTCCAGCTGAGCCATCCCTATTGCCGGTCTTCATCCGTACATGTCGTTGCCGTACACCACGATGGAACGTTCCAGTCTGGAAATTCGTCGGCAACTTCCCGTATTGCAGCCCCAATCAGCGCCTGAAGGTCTCTGCAATAATTCTCAGTCTCTCGAAACACGGACACAGCTTTACTGCGCACAAACACAATTCCCTTCAGCCCCGGCATACGCCGTGGAAGTTGACGAATGGTACGCGTAACCAGGTCAGAGACGAAGCCCCTGTCGAGTCCGTTTCCGAAAACGGAATCGTCGATGGCCAAGTAGCGGACGTCCATCAGGTCTGACGCATCGCACAAAGACATGGCTGTAAAGTACTGTGCGGATGCCGCCATGAAACCTTTTAGTGGACCAAAGTGTAAGACGTCGACTTCGGGGTTGAAGTAAATCTTTGGTACTCCAGCTATTCCGAATTTCAAGTTACCATAGAATCGTATGGCTTCTTGTCTTGATTCGCGGCAAGCGTGTAAGATGGCCGGGACTTTTGCTGGAGAAGTTCCCCAGGTTGAATGGGATGTGTCGCATCGAATCGAAACTGTTCGGGTGTTTGGTAAGCTTAAAAGCCATATTCTCATTCGAAGCTTGGTCGGCAGCCTGGGGAATGGATGCTTCATGTTATAAGTTAGTGAGTCCCAAGATCCCAAAGGTCGTGTGGTGCGCAACGTGTGTACTTGACTTACAAACACCATATCTGCCACACTGTGATGATCTTCGGCCATGTCTGTTGATGCAAGTTGTGTAATACCGAAAGGAGTCATGTTACTCATGTGGAATGCAAGTAATGGAGGGCACGCTCATCATGGCCAAGAGTTGGAATGCTGTCATGTATTACAGACATCTTCAATGCACACGTTACCGCGATATTGGGTATTGATCCTCGCAAATCTGTTGATGTTTTATCTCATCTTGAGAGACACCTTTAGCCAAAGCTTGAGTCGTGTGATCGCAGCCCTACGGCGAGCTGAGTCTGTCTTGCGAAGGGATTACGAGCTTCGTCGATAACACGGCTCGGTAGCTGTTCCAGGAATATTGAATCTTGATTTGCCTGTCAAGCTGAAGCTAACATCGAGATGAAATGCAAGAAAAAGAAAGGAGAAACGATAATCAATTTCTGAGAGGACCAGTTACAGAAACAACTGGGCAAATCACCGTTCTGGGCCGCCATGTCAAATTCACCGGTAGGAGATGACTTGCAGTTTCCCCCCAACCAACGGTCTCTTGATCGTAACTACAATCATAAATCATATTGCACTTCATGCGAAGTCGCTTACTCGGAGCCACGATTGGGCTGCGATGAGGCACTTATCCTTGAGCGTCTCTAGGGCCCTTGATTCTGGACGGTTGGTATCACCGTATTACAATAGCAGCCAACTTGTCTGAACGGATCGGACTTCGAATTCAAGTCAGAGAAGAGGCCTCATAAGACCAACGACAGAAACAGACACGCAGTCTGACATGCCATTGGGCAGCGTGACCGGGGTCAGTCGGACCCGCACTTTTGCGCTCAGGCAAAAGTAGCAAATAGCAAACCGACATTTCTTCGGGTCTGTCCAAATCAAGACGGCGGCAGAACGGCAGAGAAGTTACAGGGACATTAAGTGATAATCGCCCCATTTCTGTCAGCTGTCAGAATATAAGCCGTAACGGGCTGAACTCTACGTAGCACCACGTACATGGGTCCATCTTGTGGCGTTGAATCGGTGAGCTAGAACCCTCTATCCTGGGCATTAGATTGGAAGGCATCTCCGGGTCCCGAGCGCCTGGTCAAAGGATCCATGGACGATCTGCCTAGCTTGGGCTTACAAACCTTGATTTTAGCCCTCGAGCAGAAATCCGTGGATTTTGCCCGGTGATTGAGGAGGGCGCTGTCGGAAATGGCGTGATTTTTCTCATGTGGGAAAGGTTGGTTTCAAATCAGCCCGGCAGGTGAAATTCTTAGGAGCTCTACATATGCCTGAACGCCGACTCCAACGCTCGGGTTCTTGAGAAAAAGGGAAAACAACACTATTAGACACGAGGTGGCTGGCTAAAGAACCCCTAAATTATTGAAACGATTCAGAGTAGTGCCAGCCACACCGTCACAAAACGTCATTTCTTGGGCAATGTCAGCCCACAGTCTTGTCTACTACATCTATTTCAAATTATCTATTGATTGGCAGTGCTCCCTGTGTGTATGGCCTTAGGTAGGCTTGGGAGAAAGGTCGAAAGAACAATTGCAGCAACTCGAGAAGTTTGAGGGATGGACACAACATCGGAGAAACATCTCTCGTCGCCTCAGAATGATTTCGGTACCTACTTGCCTTACTTGGAGGAGCAAGTCGCATACTAAGTTTCGTGAAGTTTAGGCTCGCCATATCGTCTACACCCGACCGATCCCGACGTAACCGGCTTATGCGATCAAATGATGCGTATCATGGTGGATGTAGCTTGACGGGAAATTTTCGTCACGAGTCGTGCATAGGTCCACCGCCTCTTGACGGATATGTAGTCGGATTCAACGGATAACAGATTAAGGTACTGGGCGATTTTTAAGAGCATATAACATAGAGCAATTTCCCTCTGCCACTTCTAACATTACTAAGACTGACGGAACTCGTTTGCTCATCGGCTGACTTGAAGTCAAATTCGAACCAAATTCCGCTGCGAGTCCAGGGCGCGTGGGACACGAGGGGCTGGCAGGTTGGCCTACACTTCTCCACAGGCGGAACATGGGTTAGGATTGGAGATAGCACCCCCAGTCTCTTCTCAAAGGTTTGACTTGCCCAACGTGGCAAAACTTTTCAAAAATATTCCACAAGTAGAAACAGGCGTGAGCTTGGCGTGACTGCTACGGTGTTCACGCCCAAGAGGTTCAGACTTACGACCACAGCAGCACCAGGCAGTAAGCCCGTACCGATTATCTCTCAACCATATGTACGCTCAGGGAATTATCCTCGCCAAGAAGACTTGGATCAATGCCCGAGCATGTTCCCGTTCAAGTGCAGAGTAGTGAAGATCAGAGAACGAGCTGGGACATGCGTACCAGTTGCTAGATCTAACTCGAGCCTTACTTTGCCTGATATTCTCATGAGTAGAGACAGCGCAGTCCGCCATGGATGAGTATGATTCTCACGCCAGTCCAGTCGGGGACCATCGCGGCCGATTGGACTTCAATTCCAGCCCAATTCCTGGGCTTGACCTGTTGATCAGCCCCTCTTCTTCCGGTCGTCATAGAAAAGTTATAAATGAAATAACTGTCGCTCTACAATTCTTCCGACATAATACGCAATTCACCACTTTCCTACTGCGGCTTCACGCATATGAGCCTAGCATGGTTGAACAAATCGCAACCGGAAAGAAGCCCGGGAGCCACTTTGTTCATGTCCACATTAAGGACCAAGTATGGCGTGTCTCGTAGAAGTCGCAGATAAAGAATGATGCCAATGCCACGAAAAGCTACGAGGATATAAGCCATACCGGCTCCGATCATCCTCGCCAATGAGGGCAAAGCCATCTAAAAATCGTTACTAATCATATTGACCGAACTTTCGAAGCTCAAACAAGAAGTCTGCACGATTTAACAACGCGCCACATCGACTTTACACATCCGCCATGGATCGCTATCCGTGTATCAACAGATACAAGTACACCGTCAACTGCCCATCTTGGGTCTGGGTATATCGTACTCGTTGCGAAAACTGCGTTCTGGTAAGCAATCACTTCCAGACAGCGAGGTATTATGGAAAAAGTCTTGACATCGAGTAGTACGATCTTTAAGAACATCGGGCCCCAGGATTTGGTTATGGGGAAAAAAGCCATATCCGGAATAGGCGGTAGCCAAGTTCACCAAGGAATCATACGCGCTGATTAGGTGATTGAAATGCCCAACACTACAGACATTAAACCATGATATCAAACAATGAAGCCTGTATCTACGTACGGACGAACCTTGTGTACCTTGTAGCGGAGTCTTGGGCATACAAGTACGCAATGAGCGCTTTCAAGGAGCTAAGGAGCTATGCGTACGCAAGAACCAAGGCACGACTTGACCATTCTCCACTGCTGCCTTGCTGCCGCCGCCGATCCGTCTTAAAACGAGTCCTTGCCGTGGAGCCGATGAGATACTCGATGCAGCATGGCGCATTGATCAGTACCTTCAGTCAAGGCTAGACGTGTTTTGCCAGCCTCAAGATGAACTTCCACCGGGCCAGACCCTCCGGCAGAGCGTTCAGGAGCAAGGTTATACGCTTACACCGCTCAGGTAGCCCGTAGAGAAGGCCCAGAGCGAGGTTGAAAACCTTGACATAGGGGGTCTTACAAGGGGTAAGCAAGCGCACCGCATGGATGTAACGTAGCCATGTGGGTTAGGCCCAGCCGAGCCGTCTCCGTCCCCTGTCTGCATGTCTCGTGATGATTGCTCAACGCTTTGGCTCACTACAAGAAGTTCTGTATGTTGATGCTTCTCAACAAGTTCGACTACAGCCTGATCAACGCGCCAAAGCCTTGTAATTCGTCATTGCCTGCGATCGGCACTATTGTTCGTAAATCGTGTTCGGAACGGCCGTAGATTCGAGGGTTATGCCCTCTTTGGGAAGACCAAAGGGGTGTCCGAAAGCTCATCTTCTGGAAATGAAGACATGCGGAACCTGCAAGATGCCGGTCTGAACGTGTATCTTCCACCCAAGATACGAGTGGTTTGTCACCAAATAATTTGAGGGAATGTCGGTTCGCGACGTACGACTACAGCCGACACACCACAGTCGACAAGCCATAACATACTAATTGTAGTTATCCCCATATGTAACGACCGTCAAGAATCGTTCACTGCATATGCAAGAACTCTCAGCGGCTGGTATCAGTCTCCTGAAACTGTCAAACAGTCGACAAAGCGGGCTTGGAACCTGTGCCTCTTGCCCTTCTGACTGGCCCCTAGTGAAGATGAGTAAGTAGCAATCATGTGTTACCCAGCCTTTTCGTGATACTTTTGCTGGAATTTGGAATTTCTCACCTCACAGCTACTGCTTCAAGGACTATGTCCTGGCAAGATTCCCAAGTCTTGGTCAGAGAAAGGCCTAGCATTTGACCTCAACAGGTATTTACACACCGTGTCTTCATGCCGAACCCCGTATGTGAACACCCGCTTTCTTCAAGCCTTCAACACACCATTATAAGAAACACGATCCTTGCTCGTATGCACAATCAAGCGACATTTTACCCACACATATCTCTCTCTCGTCCACACCCTTTGTCCGTCTCATATCACGACTTCTGGGACCAAGGCCACACCGTCCTTCCTCATGGACATACACCTTGTCGTAGGCATATCACACGCCTCATTCAGGTGGGCGTCTTTCTTCTGAGTGAGCTCAAAAGAGCTAGATGAAGTGTCCTCTATGATAAAGATCTAGTTGGTTGTGACAACACACTCTATTTGCGGACATCTCGAACGCCATATCAGTCTAGTCGAAGCCCGGAGGTACTAGGCAGTGACGAAGAATCACTAGGGATACTCAAATCACGTTGAAGTCAGACATTCTTGCCAAGGAGAATTGAGTCGAATGCAATTAAATACAGCTATCCAACTTTTAGCAACTTTTAAGATCAATTACAAAAACCTCCTAGCCATCCCGATACCGATTCATTACGATGTCAAAGAGCGAATCCCGCAAGCTCGAACTAAATTTTGACTAACATTCCGGCGAGAGAAAGAACCTGCCGGGTGTCAATAGCAAGGGATGGACCTATATTGATGGTTACCGATGCGTAGATTGCATCACAATATGTGCTTTACTTAGAGAGAGAGGTGCCGAAGAGAGAATGCGAGGTAGAATTCTGACATTGAGACCTCTAGAACGGTATAGGTAAACCATCAAACCGATAAGAGAGTCATAGACTTGTCAGTGATGTGGATAGTGATCTATTGATACTCATCTGGCTGCAATGATAACGTCTCGCGATTACGAGACCGATGTTGATTCATGGCTCATGTAGGAGATTGGGATGGGCTGTGTGACGTTGATCCCACCTACTGATCGTTCAAAGAAGCCGATGAGCCGTCGTAAATCATCTGTTTCTACCTGCCACTAGTAACCACCATATGAAAAATCACAAAAAACAGAGACATAAGCATCTTACGTTGGGGGCCAACAGTGTTTTGATGACTCGACTTATCATGGCCATACTAGGTACGGCAGAAGAAAACACTTTTTGCACCGTCTCAATTCGAGCCTTATCGTCGTCGGCATACAGGTACGAGTTGTCCATGTCCAGGGACTTCATTTTCCCAGAACCAGGGTTGCGATCTGATCGGATTCCGCTGCTGCCTATTGCAACTCGTCGCTAATTACTGTGAGACTGAATATAGCTCGAACAAAGCTCGAGTAGCGTTGGTAGCCGTCTGATCTGGGTTGTCTGCAGTACGTGCAGGAAGCTCTGTTGTGGATGATTGGGTCATCGCCGTCAGGTCGGAAGACAGCGTGGCGCCAACGCTGAATCTTTGTTAGCGGCATGAATTAAGATGCTTCAGTGCGTGGCCAGTACGGCACTTATTCGTACTGTGACAATGACACGTTGCTCTGTTGGCTACATGCAAGGCTGAACTGCCTACTTCCAACCGTCAGTCTGCAATATCTGACTTTCTCCTCTACACCAACCTGTTGAGCGCTTAGCCTTTTCGAAGATGCCATCACCGAGTCCCACCGAGAGCAGCCAGCTGGGGCCTACGAAGCCTACGATAAAATCACTTCAAGACCTCACTCTCATCGAAGCCTGGGACAACGATGCGAATGCGCCAAAATACGTCACCTTCTACCACATAACGGACGAAGCGGAACTATGGTTTGGTCAAAGCTCCAAGAACAAGCGGGAGATACCTCTTGAAGAATACCAAGAGGCACTGCAGCTCGTACCCGACGAAGAGATCTATCCCGAAATTCCAACTGGCGCCAAGCTCACCATCGCACCAGACAACATCGATGACCCAGTGTTCATAAAACGGCCCGGCCTCAACTGCTATGAGTCGATGAAGGGAACACCCTATGTGTGGAAATCCGTCCTTGATGAGACCTTGATCATGGAAAAGGTCTCCAAGAATCCACATCCGTATATCATCAAGTACTATGGCTGCCGAACCGCACGCGATCGCATCACGTCTCTCGTTCTCAAGTCGTACGACTGCACGCTCACCCAGTTTGCCCGGCTGCCAGGTTTTAAAGACCTCGATAAGGAAAAGTTTCTGGACGGCCTGGAGTCAGCAGTGTCGTATGTACACTCGTTGGGCCTAGCACATAACGACATCAATCCGGACAACATCATGATGGGAAAGGATGGCATACCTGTTCTTATTGATTTTGGGTCTTGTGCTCCGTACGGGCAAAATCTCCAGTCCTTGGGCACCGATGGATGGTACGAGGAGGTATTCTTCACTTCAGAGAAGTCACACGATGATTTCGCCATGAAGAAGATGAGAGTTTGGATACAAGATCCGCAAGTATGATGGGTCAAGTCCGATCCGAAAGCTGATGCAGGTTCTCCGGCATTGTTGGCGCATAAGATGGACCTCCACGGAATGGAGAACTACAGTGGTTGAAAGGGAGGCGGATCAGGGAGGATCTTGTCTCTCTCATGTCGCAATGATACACGTTATGCCGCCCACTGATTACTGCCCGACGATACTGCTCACCTCCATGCGAGAACTCGATACTGGGTTATTATATGCTGGAATGTGAGAGTAGAAAAGGGCAACTGGAAAATGATAAGGGCCGTTAGCAGCGTACTCGAACTTTAATATAGAGCGAAGTTTGCAATCCAAAGAAAGACTCGACAGATAAGAGTTGATATTGTGATCCTGAATCAGTGGTGTGGTGGCGGTGATTGTGGTATCGAAGACTCGTGATGGCTTTCCGGATGAAATGCAACTGCGTCAGATACCGTGCCCAACCTGAAAGTACCTGGATTTTACCTCTTTCGAGCTAAGGTAAAACAAAAGAATGCAAGTTTGATGAACATGTTCGAAGAAAGAACTCACCTGTATTTTGTTGTCTCGAAAATTCCTCCGGGCCATCCTTGTTAAACCCCCCCCCCCCCCTGGTGCTGGATGTTTTTCTCGCCTCCTGTTCCCCCCTAGAAAGCCCTGCCTGAACGTGAACCTCTTCATAATTCCTCCTCTTCTGTTATGTCAGGCCTTGCTCCCTTCATCTCACCGGACCTTTCCCTCTTCATCCAAATCTGAACCTCGCTCATCTTTGAACCTTGCCTTACCTCAGCGTCATCTGCAGAAGGCACACATAGGACTCAGAAGATCAAAGCTACGGAGAAGCCTCTCTAGCGGTAGCAGATCGTGGGGTCTTTTACCTTGACATAAGGCATGGTTATAACGCTCAAGATTCAAAACAGGAAAGCAACTGAGGCAAAACACGAAAGACCTGAATCACAGATCCTCAATCAGCGAGTGCCTATTGTCTCTGGAGTAGTAAACACATCATCATTTTCACCGCCAGGAATCACCATTCAATATTGAACATTAGTCGTTGCGTATCATTAAACGCTATCTACGCGGAAAGATATTCTATCATGCTATCGTACTGGGATAGATGGTCCCCAGAAGATGACCGAGGAGCTTGCAGTCTGGGAGCTAGATGCCTCCATGGAGCAATCCAGGTCATCTATTTCTCTTCCCGATCTGAAGGCCCTAGGTGTGGAGTCTACACCTCTTGTTCAACCAAACAAATCTTTTACTCGTTATCCGTAACCTTGATAACAGTAGA